ATGTAGTTCTAAAAGCAAGTGTAAATGCAGGTCAGGTTCAGACTTATTCGGGAATTTAAGTTTTTTTTAGAACCGGGATCTACCTTTTCCTCGAACTTAAAATCTAGAGAAGACTTAATTCATTACCAAACGAGTAAAAGCATATTTTTGTGCACGTCTACTTTAAATTATTTTGGACTCCGTAGGCGCATAAAAAATCAATAGAGTAATTTATACTATTTGTATAGTCATTCTTACCGAGTGAGGTTTCTGCCGATAGCCAGAAAAAGCTCATTCAAAAGCCGGCATCTTGACGTGGCAGACGTGTCGTCAGAATATGCTGCATGATAATAAATATTACCACTCCACCTAAATAATCCTTCCTAATGAAGTGCACATTTTAAGATTTCAGTTAAAATTTCGTGTAATAGGTCAGGTGCTGTGTACACTGGGGACGCGAGTTCAGTTTCACTCCCTCATTGCATGCCTTTTAATGGAGCTCACGCAATCAAGAAGTCCGTAATCGGACCAGATTAATGAAGTCCCCCTCCCATGTGGTTTTTACCGTCCCCGACAGCATGGGCAGACGGCGGTTAATAGACCAGAACAGACTATTTCAATGTTGCTTGTCTTTATTGACGGCAGGTTTTGACGAAAGACCCCCCTCTTCCTGCATGACCAATAACGACTATGACAACACGATTGACCGCGAAGGAATAGCCCTTGATAGCTCGGAGAGAATAAACGGGATTTGAATTTCTTTAGAAAGTGATGAGCTGTGCAATTTTGTGACCAAGGTCTAGTTCATGGTCGGCTATTCTCCCGACTGAACGAGGCAGTTTTCCTTTAGGCGCGCAGTGCCTCCTACCAAGTCCGTTTCAAGATTTACTGCCTTATTTTCCTAATTAGTGACCGTGAGTCGGACTCCTCAGAGGCCAGGTGAAAATACGCTGGACGCCTCCTTCGGGAAGTCTCCTCGGCCGCTCACTCAACTACCCTCTCCCCTCGGTCCAAATTCCATCACCAGGTTTTTCCATCGACAAAAGTAAGTGCGTGTGCAAGAGCCCCACTAGTACACGTACATTATATTAATCAAAAACTTGCTACTGCGTCGATGTAAGTAGCGTGACAATCATTTGTTAAATTCAGGCGAAACTCCGAGAGCGAGACGCACTCGATGCAGCTGGAGGGCCCCTTCCAGGCGCATTCCTATCGACGACCGACTATACCTACGACGTATCAGTCGGGTGTTGCCGGTGACCCTGAGTCCGCCGGTATCACTGCTTCCGGTGCTGGCATTCCCTCCTCCCGGTTAAATTCGCGCTCAGCAGCTCAGGGCCAGCAACAGCAACCATGGCGGCCCGGACAGGCGCAGAAGGTAACAAAGAGCAAGCCTGGCAGACAACAGCCAGGCAAGCAGACGAACGTCGATGAGGAAAATATCATGTTCCCGATGGACTTCTCCTGAATTTGTACTGGCTGCAACAGAAGCGGCAATCTCATGATAAACTTCCCTCCCCCCCCCTCCCCCAACGCGCCAAACAATCCAGTCGAGCTTTCCTGCCACCCATGTTGCGTGAACCGCCATGACAACCCCGCTGACTCGGTAGGGTTGTCGTCACCTTGACTGTCGCCGTCCTGCGTAGGCACGCGCAAAAGTGGAAATGGTACTTGCCTTGAAATTTGTTGTTTCCAGTTTTGATATTAAGAATATGAAACCAAATTGCAGAGCACGACTTGTTTCTGTTGAAACTGCCTTGACGAAGAGGCAGGGTGAAGAAGGAGACACGATCACTGGGACAGGAACTTTATTCGCCTGACGTTTCGGATTAATGCTCGAACGTATCATCAGAGACAAAGGCAGATACGGGTGGTAGGGCTGCAGACAGTGAGTCTGGTGGCTAAGTCAATTGCTGTCCTGTTGGGAATCGCTGTCGCGGGATTTAATGGTCCACTCTCGCTGATGCGTGGCCCGGGGGTTTCCTGGAGAAAATTCTCGGATCAGGTTAGAAAGGGGAACTAGGCCAGGTTAAGTGCGGGCCGCCTACACAGAAGCGCGATGTGGTCCCGATCCCCATGCCTCCACTTGCGTAGCCAGCTGTCTCTGTGTGGACTGGCTGCGGGGGCTACGCTACCCAAGCGCATGCCGAAAGAGGGGGCGACAGCGGACAGGTTTCCGGCGCATACTGGTGCCCCGGACACAGACGCATTCTCGAAGTTCGTCATAGCTACCAATGTCCGACAGCCGTCTGCTTTGTTGACTTTGCCGCCGCGTTCGATTCCGTCCATCGTCAGTCCCTATGGCGGATAATGGCGCTGAATGGTGTAACGCCAAAAAATTTCGCCATGATCAAGGCCTATTACCGCTCCACCTCCGCACGAGTCCTGGTCCGGAACAATCTTTCCCAGCCGGTTGGTATTCGGTCTGACGTTCAACAGGGTTGTATCCTGTCGCCCATTCTGTTCAATTACGCTATTGACTGGATTAACGGGAGGGCTCTACACGAAGATGACGGTTTTGAGTTTGCACGTGGACACCGGCTAGGTCGCAGTTGGTAGCCAGGACCTTAACCCTGATCCTAACCTTAGCCCTAACCCTAACTTCAATATTAGACATTAGCCGTTAACCCTAACGGCAATCCTAACCCTAACGCTAACCGAAATTGAAAACGTTACCGTAGCCCTTAGACATAGCCGTAACTGAAAAACCTAACCGTAATACTAAAACCTAATCGTACACTCAAACCCTAACGTAACCCTAAAACCCATGCCTAAAGGCATGACCCTAACCCGTAAATCGGAAACCATTAACCGGTAACCAAATCCTAACCTCAAACGTAAAACGGAAGCCGAATGGGTCAGATGTGATTATGGAGTCCCACAAAAAAACCCCAGTAAACAAACCCTCCGCAACCTGTAATACGGGTCCTGGCTACCAACTGCGATCTAGCCCGGACACCGACTGACTGATTTCGAAAATGCCGATGATATCGCCTTACTTGCTTCAAGTTTTGGTGATCTGCAGTCTATGGTGTCACGAGTGCACGAGGTAGCTAAATCGGTCGGTTTATCCATGAACGCTGGGAAGACCAAAGTGTTCTCAAGCTGCATCCCTGACCAGGATGACACCTCTCGGGATTGGTGGCTGTCAACTTGAAGAAGTAGACAGTTTTAAATCCCTCGGGGCGAGGCTGCTGCCGAATGGCCAGAGTAAGGATGACATTGTCTCCCAAATTGATGCTGCCCGACGTGTTTTCTCAAGTCTTAAAAAATGCCTATGGATCCGACGTGACCTCTCCATCGCCGCCAAGACCCTCGTGTGCCGTGCGTCTGTCCGGTCTGTCCTTCTCTACCGTTGTGAATGCTGGGCTTTGCGCGTGGACGACGATCGAAAACTGGAGGTATTTGACCACCACTGCTTAAGGACCATCCTTCGAGTGAACTACACCGACTTCGTCTCAAATGAGACAGTCCGCACTCGCTGAGACATGGCAATGATAACCCAGGCCATCCAAGAAAGACGAATGAGGTGGTTCGGGCATGTTCTTCGTTGTCCACCTCCGGAGATCAGTATTACTGTCCTCGATCTGGCGCCGTTACCCCATTGGAGGCGTCGAAGAGGGGGTCAACTCAAGACCTGGCTAGACACTGTCAAGACATGGAGGTGGTTCTTGGACCTTCGGTACTCGGTCTACGTCGTTGGCAGAGAGAATGGGTTTAACTGTCCAGATCTGCTGCCGCAGACCGTCACACGTGGCGAGGTACGTTTCGGGACATCATCGAGGCCGGCTAGATCAGACATGATAGCAGCCCTACCAAGTACAAGTAATTAGTACACAGGCCACCCAGTCAACAGATGGAAGAACCTTCCTCTGTCTGTGGGGAATTTAAATTTCCTTTGTGGGTAAACGTCGTTCCGCGAACCCCATCGGGGAGTCGCCATGCTAACCATCAACGCCCGTGGTCCGGTCGTGGGCATTAACGACTCGAACATGGTCAGCACCGGCAATCGGTGACGGAAATGTGATCTGTCGACCAGCAGGCACGCCGCGGCACATTAACCGTCCCCTATTGACACTGCAGTCTCACTACCTCCCTCAGTCGGCGTCTGATGTTAAGTTCGTGTGTGGACACGACAGTCAGACTCTCGCTTCCGCGATTGGGCAGCGCGGCTTCAGTCATTGCTCTGAAGCCTCTTTTCCATGAAACGACTTATCAGACTTATTCAAGGTGCCGCGGCTCACCGAGAACGGCAAACAAGGATATTCAAAATTTTTATTGCCGGCGCACAATCACTGTCCCTGCCAACCTTCAGTGCCACTATTTCGGAATGCCCACGAGTCTCTGACCAGCGATTGGGTGATTGGTGTGAGTGGACCCGTCCCCCCCGCCTTGCTGAAGTCTGTTCCAGTCAATTGGACCAAACATGGGGAGCGTCTTTCACACATAACCTAGCGGCAGCGTGAGACAATCAGTTGATTTGCTAACCGCATGGCCATAGTAGGCCCAGGTGGTTTATTGATATCAACATAACGAAGTGTATTATATTCTCCCGACGGCGATTGAGCGTTAGCCTTGACATTACGCCAAAGGCAATGACCACTCTGACCGTCGATGCCGTTTGAGGCATCTGGGACTCCAGCATAGGTCATTGCCATCTCTTAACAGATCTCTGATATTGAAAAGGGGAGGCGGAAACAAAGTCCCGGTGCCGATGGTAGGCGTCATTTCTAGGGTTCGGTAAGAATTCAAATCCGGACAGAGGCGTACTTGGGCCGTCACTATGGTAAATCATTCAGTGTTGTCAACACCGGTCATTGCTGGATCGTTCGGGACTCGCTTGAGGCTATTGGAACAAGAAAAAAACCAAGAGAGTAGCGTGCGAAGTGCGGAGCGGTTAGCCTTGTCGCCTGTATCAGAAACCGGTGAGTCAGAGCAAAGTTGCTTTTGTAATAAAAATAATTCTATTTAAACATACATAAGGCGAGCAAATGAATTTAGCCTGTACAACAGATGTCGAGTTAGTCTTCCGTGGTCCCAAAGTCGTTGAAATCACCAACATATGCCGCCACGGCAAGACGGCGTCCACGCAGCCAGTAGTCCTCAATGGCGACATCAACCCGGTCTCGGCAGTCAGTCATGTCGCGCCAACCCAACTTCAGCAATTGCCCAATGGCAGTGTTTCTGGGTAGGTAGACAACAACACGATTGGTCAGCCGCCGCGCTGCAGCCATGGCGCCCGGGAGGACTTCAATGTCCTCGAGGTTGAAGAAGGGCTCTGGCTCGTCACCGAGGGTTTCGAACCATAACTTGCGACGCTTCCGATTCCAACTGGAGGCACCCGGAGGCAAGACGCGCTCCTTGTAGTGCTGTCCACCCCAGGGCGGCGACATGAAGACCACATCGACAATGCCAGCTGACATTTGCGGCTCCTTTGAAGCAGCTGATGCTTCGCTTTCGGAGGTTACAGTCGCCATTGTAGAATTGTCTTCGGTGGGAGGCAAGAGTGTCTCTGGTGCACTTGAGGGTTCCTTTTCACAATTAAGCGTCTCGTCTGACTCTCTCGGAACCGTATTTTCAGTGTCCGCCAGTAGGGGTTCTTTACAGGTTGGGGGCGAGAGCAGGCCGAGTGAATTTGTGTCTGCGGGACCCGGAGTCCCCTCAGCGGAAAGATCTGATCCTGCTAACGTCGCGGCCAAAGCAACCGACGACTTCTCCGCGTCGGCATGCAGCGGATTTGATTCCTCGCGGGACGAGTGGCGCGAGACTTGTTCAGACGGACATACGGGTTTTTCTGCCGGTTCAATCGTCGAAGGAGAGCGGGACGCGATGGGTCCCGATCGGAGAGCTGACAGGACACGGGCCAGGTCACCACAAATGGCGTCAATTTTGCTCGTTGCTCCGTAAACCGCGGCATTCTTTCGAAGAAGACCGAGACGCTCTACACAGTTGTCAATGCTGATTACTAAAGTCAACAGAGACAATAAAAAGGCAGATGGGAATTTTCACGCAAGCGGAGACATCTTATTAATTGGAGCCAAAAGCAGTTTTAAATCGAACTTGCATGCCAAAAATAGATCTTTGAAACGATTTCGACCAAGAATTCCAAAACGCACTGAAGCAAAAATCGCTGCATGAAATAGGAGACCAAGAACTTAGCTCCGCCGAATGATTGGAGACTCATACCGATAACTGCGTGACTAGTACGTTTGCGTCATATGTGGGGAATGTGCCGAGCGGAGTTGAGATCGCACACTCCTTAGCTTAGTCTACGGCTACATGATATAAATCCAGTAGTAGTATTGTGTAACCACCTAGTTGGACTAAAACATTAGATGGCGAAGAACAATAAGAAAATAGGATGTAAAAATGGAAATAATCGCAGCGAGTTCTCTTCAGAAACCGCTATAACCTAAAGGACAACTGTCTGCGTACAGTCGCCCTGGACATCCGCACTTTTCTGACTGTCTGGTCCCACGAAAACTGTAAATGGCTTTTTTGAATATTACTAAAAACCAATACGATTTCAGAGGACCAACCAGAGCGCAGAGTGCGCTTACAGACACAGTCCCTTCTTGCTACCTGCCTTAAGTTTCGATCGACTTATTTGACACGCACTGATAGTGCTCCTCGAAAAGCAACAGACAGGTCTTGAGACTAAATGCATACTTATTGCTGTAAAGGTTATTTAAACAAAAACGTAGAAAGATTTTCAGTTGACAAAGAACAAAAAGAAAACAAGTGAAAAAAATAGGAAGAAGGATATGTTACGACCAAGAAGAATAACCATAGACGAGGTGGAAGATGGCTCATTCAACAGACTAGCTCTGGCCCGTAAATTCGACGCAGTGGTCCAATGGACGATGTCCTTGGCGTACTTTTAACTGTGACACTATCAACCGGTCAGGGCGAACGATGAGCGGAGCCGTCAAACAGGACGCAGGGCGCAGCGAGGAACCCAAGGCGACTACATCATTGTTTTGTTTTACTACCGATACTGTGTAGGGAGAACTTGAGAAGCTGAGGGGAACTCAGTCCCAGTGTACTCCTTTTTTCCGAAACTGCAGGGACGATGACCTGCGCGTGAATTCGCCCATAATGATAGTGGACTGGCACTGCATCCACCGCAGCACCACCTCCATCATTCACACGAGCTCAGTTTTAAGAAGACCGGGAGGCGAGATCCGACTAAACAGCCCGTCTGCGCGTACCACACACGTGCGGCACAAAGGACGACGCCAGTCCACAGTCGGAGCCGGTCGGCCCCCGGATTTGGCGCAAGCAGCATGAGTCTGCATCTAGGTTCGCCACCATGTGTGGTATTTGTTACGGGTGCTCAGCCCGAATAACGCGTCCTGTGTCCTAACTTGTCCCTCCGCCAGCTTGGCCCGCTGTCGGTTAACATCCATCTTCACGTACGAACAATGTGGTAGGACCATGAAAGTTAATGCAAGAACACCTGAATGCAAAAATAAGAACTTGCTTCATGATGAAACAGAGTTAAATGTGGTATTATCGACAAAGACATGGGAGACTGGAATGGCCACTTCTGGTTTTTAGCCGTCGTCAGCCAGTCATAGCCAATCCCGAAGTGTGGAACACCTGGGGCTCGATCACGCAACCTGCAAGTTAGGAGTCCAACGCCTCACACAACTGAGCCACGGGCTCGTTGTCTTGCCAATTGCGATCGGGAATATACAACGGCAGAGGGGCGCTCACCGATCGTTTCAACGTAACTCAATCGTTCCGTTGTGCCTTACGGGCTCTCTATCAAGCCCAACCAGCAGCTGCACAGCGGCGCATGATATAGGCAGTATGTTATTACCGACAAAGACAAGGGAGACTGGAATGGCCATTTCTGGCTTATTAGCCGTCGTCAGCCATGCGCCGCTGTGCGGCTGCCGGTTGAACTCGAGAGAGAGAGAGAGAGAGAGAGAGAGCCCGTAAGGCACAACGGGACGAGTGAGTTCTGTAAAAACGATCGGTGAGCGGCCCTCTACGAGAGTAAAGTGTGCTCGTCAAAACAAGGGGAACGAAACTAGGACTAAAATAGTAATGGCAGGAGATAAATAAAGGCTATGTCTTAGTGTTGAAACTCACCAAAAGCGCAGGTCTGCGAGAACTGGATGGAGTTGCCGCCGACCCCCGCGAAACCATCGATAATAAGGCCACAGGAACACTTCCGGGCTTGGTGACGGGCGATAATCTCGGGCGTAACACTATACCAGGACTCTAGAGGGGAAAACAGAGCTCTGGGGAAGAAAAACCTCTCAACTGTTTTACAGAAGGGAATTAATCGGCAAACAATCAAGCCATCGAAAGTCGCATTCAGTAAACGGAGAACACGTGAGACTGCTGTCCCGTACAAGCAACATGCATACCAACATCCTGACTCAAGGTGACGCAGATGAAGTTCATATTTTTTTGGGATCAAAATCACTAACGCGAATGAAGAATATTTCCAGGAAAGTAGCCCAATGGTCTGTATACGACTACTCGAGACGAGTTACGGGTATAACTCCTGCCAGCCTGCGTACTGAAGAACTGCCCTCCGGCGCGGATTTCCGTAGTGCGGAGGAGGAGGTGCCCACCGCGTTACAGAATTCACTCATTCCGTTGTGTCTTACGGGCTCTCTCTCTCTCTCGAGCCCCGCCAGCAGCCGCACAGCGATGCGTGGTATAGGCAGACTGGAATGACCATCTCTGGCTTATTAGCCAACGTCCGCCAGTCATACCCATACTTACTGCACGTCTGACGACGGCCTGGAAGACCAGAGTCGAAAAGTTTGGAAACAAAGTTTGTTCGATTTCCCAAAGAACACATTTACTTCGTCTTCCAGTAGCGCAATCACCCTGTTACTCGGAAACGGAGTGATCTTAACAGTCCACTTAATCGAGCAACGACATACTGCTCTCAGAACGGAGGTTACTATCTGTTCGATCTGTTTTCCCGAAATGGCTACCCGAGAGATGTTGTACGCCGATGCATAAGACATCAGGGATCAAAATAAAAAGATAAGGAAACATGTTGTTTTGATCAGGCACCCAAGCCGAAAAACTGGCGACCACTTCCTTACGTTAAAATGTGTTTGAACTGATTGAAAGACATCTAAGAAGCACCAAAGAGAAGTGGCGCACAACCCGACGACTACGCTATGCAACCGGTTTGTAAACCCAAGGGACAGGGTTGGCTATATGGATGGAAAAGAAGTCGTCTACAAGACCCCATGTGGCACCTGCGATGCAGTGTACTAAGGTTAAATTGGAAAATCAGCCTCTACACGCCTACATGAACACAAGTTGGCAGTAAAGAGACGATACCACTTATCCAAAGTTGCCATGCAGACGCTAGAAACTAGGCACAAATCTGCTTTGGATATAACAAGTTGTCATTTTCTGCCCATATAAGGAATGCCGAGAATTTCTGGGGGCCATACAATCAGATGATTCATGCATCAATCGGCACACCGCTTGAGACGCCATGTACACAAATTTCAAATAAAAATGGGAAAGGCGATAGCTAATCAAAATTAGTGTCAGCCCGCAGTAGCAATGAAAAAGCAATATCAACTTTTTTCAGGCATGTTTAAACTTAAGTTGTTTTCGCACTATACGTCTCATGACGGCCTGAGGAACCGGAGTCGAAAATTTCCCAAAGGACTAATGTCCGTCAAAAATATATACATGCAGAGTAGCGTAACCCACAAACACAAGGGGGACTGGAATAGTCATTTCTGGTTTGGTAGCCTTCGTCAGCCAGCCATGCCCAACCCCGCGACTAGTTGGTTAGAAGTTTAACGTCCTAACCATTGAGCCACGAGCTCGTTGTCCTGTCGGTTGCGATCGGGTATATACAACGGTAGGGGGGCGCTCACCGACAGCGTTACGAAACTCACTTTTTCCGTTTTACTTCGGAGCCCTCTTTCGAGCCCTGCCAGCAACCTACAGGACGAGCTTTGTGGCTCAGTGGTTAGGGGCGTTGGACTTTTAACCAACAGGTAGAGGGATCCATCTCCAGGTGTTCCACACCCCGGGGTTGGATATGGTTGGCTGACGACGGCCAACAAGCCAGAAATGGCCACCTCAGTTTCACCTGTCTTTGTCAGTAATGCTATTCCACTTAACGTCCGTACCATTTGAGAGATTTTGGATGATCTCGTGCTCGCAAGGTGCGCCATCTTCTCAGCTGGTCTTAGCTTTTGGCCAACACTTGTCAAAACACGGATTGAAGGCACTGAACGACTCTGCCCAGACCACAGCGGCAAGGAGGACCTTCCGCCTTCCAACTTAAGGAATTGATCTGTCCGGCAAAGCTGTGTTTTGTGATTTTAAGTATGCTCACGAAAACTCAACCTCGGCCCTAGCTGGACAAATTACCGCTGACCGACCTCGGTGTGGGACTTTCAGCAACTGTAAGGTTAGAATGACATCAACCCGACACCGCCGGCAACCAACAAGAAATACACTTGCGACAGGCAAGAGAGAGAGAGTGAGGGACGACTTAATTATTGAATTAAATAGTGTACATTTTCCGGCAAAAACGCAAACAAAGAGCCTTTTTCCAGAATTTAGAGTTCACCAATTAGCGCTAACCTATATTTTCCTTCAAAGTGGCGGAGGTAATTGCTACCGCATGGGTGCTATCAAGTAACACTAAAAATCGACGATTCAGATCTATTGTATTGAATGAAAGTAATCACGTTCCTACATTAAAGTACAAAAGTGTTCACAAATGAATGGAAGCGGGACAAATGGCAGTTCAGCCTAAAACACCGGCTGGCTGTGTGCGGGCACTACTTTGACGGCGCTTCTATGGACTCCTTCCGAAATTCACACCTGCTGTTCTCTATTCGAGGCCGAAAGATTGTCGGGGCTCGAGGGAGACCCCAAAGGCACATTGGGAAAGTTGAGTCCCGTAACGCGACCGGTACGTGTTACTCTAGCATTGCTAGTATTCCCGATCGCAACCGACAGGACAACGAGCTCCGTGGCTAGGGGCGTTGGACTTCTAACCAACAGGTCGCGGGATCGAGCTGCATACAAGGCTTTTTTGCTTCGGCTAGCCAATATATTCATTCATGAATGGGCGCACACCGATCTGTCCACTACCCGAAGCAAACAAGCTTCGTATGGGTGAGGCTGACTGGTTGGGTGAGTAATGTGAGTCAAGGGTCAGGTTGCCCTGCATCGACAGGTTCGTTATTGCCTTGTGTCAAGTGCGTTTAAGTAATTTAGAGTCATGGAAGGGCTGCTTACAGAAACCGCGAACGGACAACCACCTGCCAGGTCGAAGTTGGTTAGGCTATGGCAGCATCTTTGCTTCCGGTTTTAGCTATTGGTCAGGGTTATTATTGGCTGAATGAAGGTAATTAAGCCCAAAACACTTCTGTACAAATCTACCCATCAGACTCACCGGAAAATCGAGTTGTACAGTTTTGAAAAATAGGTGCTCAGACCGCAAGAATATGTTTACGTGGTGATAAAGTAAGTGATAATGCTACCGCTAAGTTGAGAAGAGCCGCAATTTACCTTTGTCTAATTCGATACCATCGTCGAACCGTTCAAATAGATCGTATCGTCTCTTCCACCATTTTGTCATTTCGGGGTCACTACAAAGTGACGCATCACCCTTAAACCTTTCCGAGTTAAGAGTGACTAAAAGGTACCTTTTAATTTTACGCTTGCGTCGGTTGCTTCGCAGAAACGATTGGGCGGCAGACGTTGCAGTACCTACAGGTAGCAAGAAGTAAAACTCAGCTGACGCGAACCTGAAACGGAGGCCTCTGAGGACTGAGGGAATGCACTAGTAGGCGGCGAAGAACAGCGCTGTTCTGCTTCGGAGTCGCTATCCGACACATCAGAGAGGGTATCTATCGGGATATTCTGCATTTTCTGAAAACATCGATTGATGAAATCTGAGAGATGGTCACCCGACTGTCTTGTGAAGTTGGTGAACAGAGCAATCAAGGCTTAGACAGGATACAAAATGATGGAAACGTTGAGTGGCGCGCAAGCGATGCCGTAGGTTGATTGTTTGCCCATGCCTCTCAACGCATTCGACACTGTACAGAATCGCGAACCTCGCGCCGTTAGCTTTTTGCGATATTTTAAGTAGGCAGTGCTTGAGAGTATAGTACTCCGTCCTTAGCAGTAGGTGGCTTTCTTTTTTGATAGGAACCCCATCGGACTGGTTTCTAAGGGTTACGTCATTCAGAGAGACACAATTAAGTCAATTTACACATTTTTCCGAAATAAAGTAGGAACTAGTCAACTAAGTTCGGGATGAACATTCATTCAATGGTACAGAGAAAGAATAACCGTTTAACGTACAGATATTAAAGACACGCTTAATTTCCTGCCCAGGATTTTGTAGGATCAGATTTCCTGCTAGAATGACCACTTGGGTCGGTCGCTCCCATGGTCCGAGATGTGTAAAAAAGAAATCCCTCGTTCAGTTTGTCCGATTAAAATAAAGAGGATACGAAATCCGGCTTCAAGAAGCTACGTTTAGCTGTTACACAGCCCGTCTTAGGGCGCAGGAGTGTAGGTATGGTCAGAGGCGAGTCTATGACCTCAACTGTGGGGGGAGGGCTTGGTCATACGAGATTTGACAGTGAAGCAGATGTGTGAACAAGGACATGATCGCGCCAGGGTATGAGCTTGCGGAGATTAGGATTGCACGGCCTCATGGATTGGCGATACCGTTCGATGCTTGAGGGCTGTGGAGTGGGCGCAAGAACGTGATTTACTCGCTTAATCGCCAGGAGTATGTCAGAAGTAATTACGAGGAATACATTTGCAACCGTACGGAGCGAGGCTGGCAAGACTTCGGGCCCCCACGGCGCACGTGTGCCCGAATAGCGTGCCTTCTGTATGGTGGCGGATATATGCCGCCTGAACTGACTCCGCAGACGGGGCAGGTAACTTCCCACCGAAATAATTACCATTTCTCCGAGCTAGGGCACCTGTCGACGTCTAGTAATCCAATTAGTACATTACAAAAGGTCTGGTACGGAGTTACCAGACTAGGTTGAGATTAAGGAGGTGGGTGGGGACCACCAGCACCAGTCTCTGAGACGTTGTAAGACCCAAAAGGCAACATTTAGAATCAACTTCAAGTCCTTGCGGCAGGATAAAAGCTATTTTACATAGGTCAGTAGGTTCGACCTCCACTTGGCAATATTTCGATTCGCGGTGGGGGGCATAAAATCGTTCAGAGCTAGAGAGGGCGACGTCTATGCAAGGTAAGGGGATGAGTCTCTAGTCGTCAAAGCGTTCAGACGCCGATATTCTATGCAGAGGCGTGGCTTTTCGCCTTCAGAACAAGTGAGACCAGGAACGGCCACGGAAATGAGTCTAACTGTCAGCGTTTTCAGCACCTCCTAAGAGGTCATTAATTTTAGTATACAGGTGAGCTGATGTACGTCGGAGTGGTTGTCAAACAAGCTTTATCGTGCCTGTCTCCATGGAGTGTGTGATGAGTCATAGAACCTATGGTACCTTCATTTCAGGCGAAGACGTCTTGGAAGTTCAACAGTAGGAATTGGAGATCTGTTTTACTGGCCACGGAGACGCTGGTATGCATGGTGAACATTTCACCGATAATAGTGAGAGGTAACTGCACTGAAGTCGCTATGGCGTCATCTGCTAACGCTTTCTTGAAATGCTCACTCATACCTGTGATATAATCACTGCGGAGAAAACCAACTGACTCGTCTTCGACATAAATGTCGCAACCGTACTTCTCTAAGAAGTCCATGCCAAGCAGTAGGTCACGCGTAAGGTTAGGGACAGGGAAGAAGGGATTCCGGCTGGTGTTCAAATCTTGTGGATACAGAGCATACTACAGGGGAAGTACGACCCGTCAGCTGCATATGATCGTGATAAGTGCTTTCTCCTTTTCATCTTGTCACTTCGCGTCCGAGACAAGACACAAGAGTCAACTCGACGTTACATGGTTTCGGTACATCGGTAAATGCTTTCAACGACTGACCATCGACGAGAAGATTGAAACACAAGGGCTGGACATTATGGGAGGGCCAAGAACAATAAGCCCGGTGACGCTACCAGACCGGTTCTTCGAGTTCCGGTACACATTCGGTGGTGGCTGCAAGCCACACAGTCAATGGTGTGTGAGGTGGCTTCCACGTGGAAGGCACAATGCGTTAGAGTGAAGATATCGGTTGGTATTACGGAATGGCGGGCATGTCCTGTGAAACTGGGGTGGTTAGAAGTGGCTGTCAGTATGGTTTTACTGCTCGCGTGTTTTGAGTATGGAGCCTAGTTTGTTCAACTTGAACAAATCACGAGGCATGCTCACTTGAGTCTTCCGATGAATCTGCTAGCGTACAACGCAGCTAACCATTTCATAAAGTGCAGCACAACCTCGGCACCTGCAACCACGAGTGTCCGGTGGGCCTCTTGGCACTGACACTGATCTTGTTGGCGCCTGACACACTGATGCCCGCTGTGAAAATTGACGCCGGATCTGGCTGTAGATGGTGGTGTTGGACGTCGTCAGTTAATACGACATAGGAACCCGTGGAGGTGTCTACCAAATATGTTTTACGAGAGTAAGGACGGGCTTAGTTCGAGAGCCAACTTTCTCCAATTAGGCGTACATGCCATCTGTGTATACACATCATCCTACCGTCCATATGGACGCCTTGGCGAGGACTTATTCAGATGCGGAATCCGTCAAAGAACCCAACAACTAGAATCAAGCATTCGTTACTCCCGCGGATGAATTGATCGGCTTGGGTACTTCAATGGGGGCCGCGGGGACCACCAAACAACCCTACCCTGCAATTTGGATGCCATCGACTTACGGCCCCGACCCACAGTGTCGAAGGCGTTCAGGATAGCATACACAGGGCAAGGTAAGGCACTGTAACTCGCCCAGAGCGAGCTGAGGAAGGTTGTTAGACGTGTCATCACTCTCATCCAAACAGTAAGATAGAAGGAGCGAGTACAAAATGTATATCAAAAACAAGGAGTTTATTATATCGGGAAGCGATAAATGATGCAGAGAAAGATGAATCACGTCAGGGGAATGACCCGTCTGAGTGGGGAGACGATGTCAACATGCCTGCTACAAAGCCGGTGGGGGCCGCAACGCTGTGGGCGGCCGTGGAAGATGCAGACGTAGACAGTGAGCGAGACGGTAGTTACGAAGGCTGTGGGAAGGGATTCAGCGGTTAAGCAGGGATGGGGCAACGGTTACTTTCACCGATACGCGGTTACACCACCTCCGTCGTGGATCCGAACCAGGTATCTACTTCATTCAGGCAACCCAACCTAGCTCGTGTGACATTACAGTGCGCTGCAGCGAGACAAGACGTCTCCTAATAATTGCGCGCAATGTTCTTTCTTTTTGGAAGGCAGTCAATAAATTCCCTGGCCGGCCTGATCGAGAGCGAGGCGAACGAGACGGGTGCTTGTGACGGGTCGTAGAACAGCGCGGTCGAGTTGAATTTGGGAGTCGAAATAAATACGGTCCGGCCGATTCGGCTTCTTCTCCGTCGTCTCGTCTGAATGTCGATGCTTGTTACCATTAATTTTGCCTGACTTTACTCCCTTCTTAGACAATTGTCCATTCTTGAACGACGCTCAACAATACAAATTGGTGACAGCGGTGGGATTATGGCGACCAAGGACGACTGCAACGAACATCCCCCCTTATCTGAGCCTCTTGCTTCCGATCCTAGGTTACCAGGTCAGCCATTCGCTGTATTATATGATCTAGAAGACAGATGTAGAGGCAGATCTCGCCTGCCCCGCCCTCCAAACCCCTTTCGCCCGGGTGATAACTTTCCCCTCTGGACGTTCAACGCATAAAACTTCCTCTGTAGCCCTCCTTCCCAACATGCTGGTTCATACCTAGACTTGCTTTTAGACGATTCGGCCCTTCGGTAATTAATGTCCAAGGGGTCTCGTTGGCTGTCTCTGCCATCGAACTCTTCAAAACCCTCAGGGACTTCTTTCAACACAGGTGGTCACCTGACTTGGCGTTGGAAGCCTTCTGGAGTCGGCGACAATTGGCGGCAGTCGGCCGACGGATACGTGTGCTGGCACCAAGAGCCTTCCCAGACGAGTGTCCCACCCGGCGCGAGGCCGAGATTCTCAAAAGGTTCGCGTTAGGCGTCTGGAGTACTGATTTGTACTCTATGTTTATCCGGAAACAGTATGTTCGGCTAAAAAATGTACTGGGGTGACGCACAGACACAGGGCTGCCGAGGTGGCTCAAAGGCAACTCGCTTCCGCGCATATATTCTCGGTGTCAGAACCCATTCCATCAAGTCCTCAACCACAAACTCATTCCGTCCATCGCCGACAGATATCCCTGGCCAGCTGCCCCTATTGCCACCAATTTGGAGGGCGGGACCAGCACTGTTGCCATAATCCCACCACTGCCACCAATTTGGAACGTTGTGCGATATGCGGGACGGACGAATGTCTAAGAGGGAATTAAAGGTCGGTTGGGGTTAACGATCATAAATGAACATTAAGCAAAGCGGTACGGAGAGGGACGAGGAGGAAGGAGACCAGTTGACCAGATATGCTTCTAAGAGGTCTCGGTTTTCAAACGGCCCGCACCCTATTCCCGGACTCCTTTGAGCGTCCAATCCGCCCGCCTCCGTCTCAGTCAGGTCGGCCAGGGAGTTTATCAAGGGCGTCCCCAAAAAACAGGGTTACATACAAAATATCAGAAAACGTTCGACCCGTTGAACAGATCGCTTGGTTAAGTAGGCACTGGACGGCATTGTTAAGGAAGGGGGGTTGGGACGTGTAAAATAGGGAGACAGAAACGTAACAGTGTGTTATGACGATACAGGGGAACAAGTAGGTACTGTGCAAATTATATATTTGAGTTGGGAGGCGGTCCTATC